ACAAGCCTTGTATAGTATTTATATATATATATTTTTTTTATTCCTTATTTTCCCGAAGCCAACTACCAATTGAGGGGTAAAATGTCTCCATTCTTTCAATTTGAATTACTCCACTCCAGAGTTTGTCTCTCTGCTACCAAGGTGCCATACCCGAGTAGATATTTTAGTGCTATTTATATATTCAATGGTTGGTTCAACTCCTCTTTTAGTGTGAAGTAGTAACTTCAAGCTGAGGGGACTTCCATTCAACTTATGTTTCATCTCTTGTCGTTTATGTTCATAATTACTACAGCTTAGTAATAAGTGTTCGGGTGTTTCTCGCTTGGCACATCTGCATTTGTCTTCTATACCTAATCCATGTTGATATAGATATGCTTTATTATGACCATGTCCTAATTCGAGTTGGAAGTGAGCACTAACTGTTGTTCTTTTTGTTCCTTTTGACACCTGTATTTTTAGGCTGATTTTCCAATTGAATTTTTCCCCATGACAATGGATTCAGTTGTAACCCAAGGTCATTCTGTCTGGGATATTCCATCCATTGGAGGCAAATTTCACTTTTTAATCTGGATCCTATCATGGCAAAACTTGTTTCCATTGTTTCAGGGGGCATTCTAGATGCTCCTTTTGCTAATTTATCTGCTAATTCATTACTCTTGATACCAGAATGTCCTAGGATCCAGTTTAATGACACAGTGGCATTTTTGATAATTATTATTTCAGATGCTGTCAAAGCCCATATTTGGCAAGACTGTCCAGGATTGTCAGATAGGTTGGCCAGCCGAAGTATTGCTGCCTGGTTGTCGGAGTATATTTCAAAGTGATGACCATTTTTAGCCAATATGCTAGCATATTCAATTGCCTGAGTTAGAGCTTCCAACTCGCCCCTATATACCAATACTTTCTCCCCTATATTTGATTTAAAGTTGTAATTGAGTCTGCCATATTTATTGGTGGCCATACAAGATATTCCAACTCCAATGCTCTCATTGTAGAGAGAGGCATCAGTATAGATATAGGTCACCTTTTGCCAGTCCTCAATTTCCATCTTGCCTTGTGCTGTTCAGCTACCAACTCAGCTGGATTTCTGTTTATATTTATCTTGTATTAAGGGGGTGAGACTCATGGTTGAAAAGCTAGAGATATAATCTTTTCAGTAAAATATTCATCCATGATTTTTTCTTGGCAGTACTTTATTCTACTAATTTGAGTTGGGTTATGAAGCACAAAATCCTTTTCACTGTGATTTTCTTGGTTTACTGGATGACTTGTTGATAACTTCATCATCCTCAGAACAAACTTGCTAGTATTAGCCTTAAGTCGGATATGGGGTGGCAGTAGGCATGACTCTACTTCTATTGGAAGAATTGGTGCAGTCTTAAAGATCCCAAGAGTTTTTCTCATTGCCAAGTTTTGAAGCTGTTTGTTACGGTTTGACCGTTGTTTGAGCTTAGGTGGATACCTAAGCCTGTTACTAAGAATTCTTACTATGAGGCCGTATGAGGGGAAGATGAAGCTGAACGAAACGGGACTACTACTCAGGAGGCTGAAGCGTTATTACAACTTAGTGACACCTAGAAATACGTGGCTGGGTAAGAAGTATTGTGCCTAAGGACAAGTCACTAGTCTGTAGATTCACGTGGAGGATTAACTCCTATAAATACCTGTTAGTAGTAGCTAGAGTTAGCTTTTCTCCTCATATAGTTTATTAAATCGATTTATTCATCACCAACTCGGTTTCCGTCACACTGTTGAAGGTTTGATATGATGTTTTCTTGGCCCTTCAAACAAACAGCTGATCCACAATCTGCAATGCTTATAACACATGCGATATAGATCTATCCCATTGCTGCTAGTGATAGACCAAAAATTACACAGATAAAATAAACCTCGTCCCAGCTAAATGACCAAAACATCTCAGACTTTACCCAGGTATTGAATCACAACAAGCCCGATCGTCTAGAAACCCATTGTATATATACCGTAGCGTAAATTCCTCTTCAGTCTCGGCCACCATGCGCCTGAGCCTTGATATCCTCCTTGAATCTGAAGTATATTTGTCTTCCTAAATCCCAGCGTTGCCCTAGTCTTGCACCTCATAATCTTAACGCCGTGTTGTTGTCTTTACCAAAGATCAATGTGACCCCTTCCATGTACATTCAGTATTTTTTTCCTTCGTAAATGTCTCGTCTCCATCACGACTTTTTCGTTAGGGCGTATGTAGGTGGGTGTTGCGATGAATGTAGAGGTGTGTCGCAGATTTGGGATAGATCGAGTAATTCTTCGTCGAATTTACGGAAGAAGTTAGAGAGATGTCAGTTGTTTGAATACAACTTCCAAATAGATCTAAGCCCATTCTTGAATTGTGCGTTGGCGGTGTTGACTTGTAATTAGTCTCTCTTGCGCCTGTGAAATCTCTACAAATGATTTTTTGACCAATATACCAAACACAATTACTCTGAACTGGCAATCTACCAAATTTAATTTATCTCACCCCTGTTCGTGACAGAATCTCTGCTCTGGGAGAATATTTTACTAGCAGGTTCGTAGAGGATACCACCGAAGGGTGTTCAGCCTTCGTCCTCCATCATATTTCAAATGAGTAGGTGAAAATACTACTTCTAGATAGTATACAAGACGTGCTCAAGTCCTTCATAATCATAGACTCAGTAGGGACTTAAGTTTAATTCTATTCTAAGACGTGCTCAGAGTAGGTGGAGTATTATTGAGGACGGATAGGTCTAGCAAGAGAAAGATCTCTGGGGTTGAGCGTGTAAAGTTTGATGACAAGGCGTGTGTAAGACTGGAGAGCTAGCTGCTTCGAGTTGTTTTCCATTGCTTCTTTCAAGTCTTTTATAATACATCACTCTGCGGCATCCAGAGATGGCGGGTGATCAGTGCTATATGTGCAATTCGGATTGTTCTTTTGACTTCAGAGGCACTCATGCTGTACGTTCCATATAACTTCGGGGTGGTTGACCTGGAGACATCAGACAATAAATAATACACACACAGTCATACCATGAACATCATTCGCAAATACAGGTTCCGTGGAAAAGGTGGCCGAATTCCACGGGTAAACACTGAGCTGAATGGTTATTCATCAAGGGCAATACATTAATGATTTTTCAAGTAACATGAGAGGCAAGGAGCACTGTACAAGGTGTGGCCTGGGTCAGAGAGGAGCCCAATATGCTAGATAGTCGAAGATTCAAGTAGTACAATAATCACACACACACTCATTCTCAAATAACACTGTCACGTATTTTTGCTTATACAGAACAGTCGGCCCTTGTACATGAGAGCTCACCAAGGGGGAATTTCAGGATCTTTTTTTATATAATTATGTCTTCGGCATCTTGTACAAAAGGGCCACACAAGTTGTAGATTTTTACTGGATTCGAACTGGCGGTGTCCTGTCTGAACTCAGAAAGGAGTCTTATCTACAAAAGTTCTAGTTGAGAGGCTACCCTAGGTGTAACACTGCAACATCTGAATATGACTGTGTTTATATTATCGCTTGTACTATCGCGTACGAAGTCGTGGAGCGCTCTAGGCTCATCAACACGAAAACTATGTCCCAAGTAACGAAATTTCACCCCTTTTGGGATTATATTCTTCCTGAAACAATAAATTTTCTGTCTTTCCCGATCTCTTTCATACCCATCCTAAATATCTGTATCGATGGATTTGAGCGCGAAGATTTGAGTATTTCTGTGTATATTCGTGACATCGTAGGCGTATATCTGTACGCTACATGGTACGGGAAACCAAATAAAGGAGGTAGTGGTAATTGAATTGATGATGTAACGGATCGCAGTCGCAGATGAGACGAAACTATAGTTTGAATCTTGCCTTGCCGAGGTTCTTAGACCATTGCCGCCTAGTCTAACGCTCACTAGTTTTTGAGACTTGGTTGTAAAATTTAATCTTGAATCTTATCATTTCTCGTGACAGACAACGCTCGATAATACTCAGTTCTTTTCTTCCTTGATCTAATTTTATTTAGCTCGTTCAGGTACTGTACGGGCCCATGCAGGTATATCTAGCTATAATATTTACACAGGAGGAAACCAAATATGTTTAAAACCTCCTTAAAACCCTCTGTCTCGTGTCTATTGGATTTCTGAAGTTTCCTACAGGAAGTGCGTTTATACTGTTCATCCAATGTGAATTCCGTCCTATCCTTTTCTTGATCGCGGCATCCTTTCATTGACCGCTATCACAACTTCTTCTGCAAGTCGGAACTGTTCAAGCCAACCGTTATGAAATATCCACTCTGTAATTTTCTTCATGTCACCCGGGCTGTTCATCATTGATTCAAACGTCCTATCTCTTGCCTGTAGCAGAACCTCTCCTCTTCCATTAGCCCACTGGGGACAAGGCAGGACCATGTGTTTCACTTTTTGTGACGGATATCCAAACAAGCATTTTGGATTTTCCACTGCAGGGATCTTTCTTCTATATAGATGAGTGGAGGCCAATATTCTCACTTCTCATCTGTATTGCAATACTGCTTTGGGCCCTGCTCAGGTTTCGGTTGATGTTAGAGGGTGTGTTTCTGTAGGTGATTTTTTTCCTGCCTGTTCTCTTGTCGGTGCTGATACTTACTGCTTTCGAATGTTCCGGGTCTGCCGACGCCTGATGAGAAAGATAGTCTCGTTTCTAGAGAAAGTTTTCGTGCGCTTTCACACTCCTGTTCTTTTCTTCCTTGTTGGGTTTAAGAGGATAAACTTAGGACGGTGCTTGAGTTAGTCGGGTGTACGGAGGTCAACCTTTTAGGCGAGTGTAATACCTCTTGCTCTTGCCTGCGCTTACGTTGCTAGCTCCGGCAACCCTTGCTAGGCAGAGCTTATCGTGCAATTGATTGAAGCACATTCTTCCTGCGTTCGAGTAGAATCATATCTGCGCTACCATACTAGCCGCCAAAATAAATCTCAGCTCTCCTCATTTAAACAGGTAGAAATCTGCAAATTATCAAAGGGCTGCCCGTGAACGCCATGGCGCAGAACGGTAATCCCCAAAAGTCTGTCGAAAAAGAGAAGGGGAAGAATAGTGAAAGACCACCAAGTAAGCCAGAAGAAAACAGAAAAGAAAATGATCGGAATACTGCTACCACGAAGCAAAACGGCGATGGCACAACTGGAGGTGCGTTGGATTTGATATGTAAACAACGGCTACTAATTTGGAGACAAAGCGGCCGAAGAGCTCAGCGAAGAGGACCAGCAATTAAAGAGCGAATTACAAATGCTTGTTGAACGCTTAACTGTATGTCCTATTAAAATCTTTATAGTCACTTCTGAATTTTTTTCTATTGTAGGAATCGGACACAAATTTATACAAGGCTGCGCTGGAAGCAATTAAAGATTCAATAAGAACATCAACTTCTTCTATGACCGCTGTTCCGAAGCCTCTTAAATTTTTACGTCCTCATTACAAAAGCCTGGTTAGCTTACATGAGAGCTGGCCCGCTGGAGATAACAAAACATCCCTTGCTGATGTTTTATCTGTCATTGGAATGACATTTTCCGAAGAAGACCGTCAAGACACCCTTAAATATAGGCTGTTAGCTCCTTCATCCGATATTGCATCATGGGGCCATGAATATACTAAGCATTTGGCATTAGAACTTGGAGAGACTTACACCAAGAGGCTAACCGCTGATGAAGCCACACAAGATCTAGTTGATCTCGCTCTCGTCCTAGTACCTCAATTTCTGAAGAGTAATGCCGAAGCCGATGCTGTGGATCTGATGAGTGAGCTGGAAATTATTGAAGATATCCCCAAATTTCTAGATAAGGATACCTACCCCAGAGTCTGTTTATACATGGTAAGTATGGTGAATCTTTTAACATACCCGGAAGACCAGCAGTTCCTCCGGACTGCGCATGAAATATATCTCCAGTACAATCAGCTAGCACAGGCTATCATACTTGCGATCCGACTAAATGATATTAATCTGATTGAGTCGGATTTTAATTCGACAAAAGACATAGCACTTAAAAAACAAATGTCATTCCTCATTTCAAGACAACAAATTACTTTGGACAGCTCGAGTACCGGGGATGATCAAGATATCGCAGATTGTTTGAATAATACAAAGCTACCTGAACATTTTAAGGCTTTGGCTAAGGAATTAAATATTCTTGACCCTAAAAGTACGGAAGATATATACAAAAGTCACCTTGAAAGTACGCGAGTCTCCGGACTCACAAATCTTGATTCCGCCCGTCACAACCTGGCTGCAGCATTTGTAAATGGATTCGTAAATGCTGGTTTTGGAGAGGACAAGATGATGATGGTAGATGACGATTCTAAAGGTAGCTGGGTCTGGAAGACAAAGGACGAAGGTATGGTTTCAACAATGGCATCAATGGGTTTACTTTTTCTTTGGGATGTAGAAGGAGGCTTAGACAAAATTGACAAATACACATACGCCCCAGAAGATCAGATCGTCGCTGGATGCCAGCTAGCCATTGGGATTATCAACTCTGGCGTACGTATCGATTCTGATCCAGCTTTAGCACTCTTGGGCGAAGAGGAAAAACTCAATCACAAGAACCCAATGGTACGGATTATGTCGATAATGGGCCTAGGCCTTGCGTATGCTGGATCAAACAAAGATGTGTTGCTTGAATATCTACTTCCAATTGTCACAGACACGTCATTGGATATGCAAATTTCCTCCATGGCAGCTCTATCCCTAGGAATGATATTTGTAGGCTCATCTAATAGCGATGTAAGCGAGGCTATCGTGCAAACTTTCCTCGACGATGAGCGAAAAAACCAGCTTAAAGATAAATGGACTCGATTCATGGCCTTAGGCTTAGGCTTATTATTTTTCGGTCAACAAGAAGAGGTAGATGTTATACTTGAGACGCTCAAAGCTATCGATCACCCCATGTCTAAACCAACATCAGTACTCGCAGAGATCTGCGCCTGGGCTGGCACTGGAACCGTTTTAAAGATGCAAGAACTATTACACATTTGCAATGATCCAATTGAAGAAAGTGAAGACAAAAAGGGAGATGAATTACTCCAAGCCTATGCTGTCATTGGTCTTGGACTAGTTGCCATGGGCGAAGATGTTGGGCAGGAAATGGTCCTTCGACAATTTGGTCATCTAATGCATTATGGAAAGGCAAACATCCGAAAAGCTGTTCCACTCGCAATGGGACTTCTAAGCCCCAGTAATCCTCAAATAAAAGTTTATGATACACTATCAAGATACAGCCATGATAATGATAATGACGTTGCCATAAATGCTATTTTCGCTATGGGTCTTTTAGGAGCCGGAACAAATAATGCGAGACTCGCTCAACTTCTCAGACAACTAGCCAGCTACTATTATCGAGACCTAGATTCTCTTTTCATGGTTCGGATTGCTCAAGGCCTCCTCCACATGGGCAAAGGCTCGATGTCTATCAGTCCATTTCACACAGACCGTCAGATTCTCTCCAGAGTCTCAGCAGCTGGCCTTCTAGTTGTTTTAATTGCCATGGTCGATGCAAAACAGTTTATCACAGATAAGTCTCATTACCTACTTTACTATCTAGTAACAGCAATGCATCCAAGGTTTCTCGTTACTTTAGATGAGGATCTTAAGCCACTCAGTGTCAACGTTCGAGTTGGTCAGGCCGTGGATGTTGTCGGCCAGGCCGGTCGACCGAAGACAATAACCGGTTGGCAGACACAAAGCACGCCTGTTTTACTAGCGTACGGCGAGCGAGCCGAGTTAGAAGATGAACAATACCTCCCCTTAACAACTAACCTTGAAAGCCTCGTAATTTTAAGAAAGGTAAAATTATCTTGAACCCTGATGCATGACTGACTAACGCAATTGCCAGAATCCTGACTGGGAGGACAAGTGCTAAATAAAATAGCAAGTGATGTGGGAAAAATAGGTTGTATAATAGTTTCAAACGATAATGTGCTAAAATTTTCCCAAAGCTTAATGTAAACTTGTCCTCAACTCCGAATGTATTATCCTTACTTAACAGTGATCCCGAAATCTATACTGAGTAGTCTAAATATCTACGCACATTCGTAGAATGCCACAAATATATTCTTTGTACCGACATCGATTGTTAGGTCACAGGCAAAATTATCTTCGTTTAAGAAAGAACTGTTCCATAATTATACATAATATCTAACACCGTTCAAACACCTTGTATAGCCCCTTAAGATTAGCAACCTCTATAACAGCACCATTTAGTGCTTTAGTAGCGACTAGTCTCATTTTAAAAGCAGGAAATAGTACGTTCTCAACGGCATTGTTAATCTGTTCTCTTCGTATCCCAATTTCTGAGGTTGAAGCAGCTGTACTTGTAAGCTCCGAAGAGGGTGGTAGCATCTCAGGACTGTAATAACAAGCCAATTCGTGAAGAAAGCTTGAGAAGCATTCCTTCTCTGATGTCCAATTTACGTATGGACCAAGACGAAGAAGGAAACTGGGCAATTTAGCCAGGCTGGGCGTGTAGCCTTTCAAAAGTAGTGGCATACTTAATAATTCTCCTTCCGCGGAAATTTCAAGGGAAAAATACTCTAGTAGCATTTCGCGGCGATTTATGAGTTGGGTGCGAACTGTCTCAACCACCTCTTTGACATCAAACCCATCTCCTATGGTGGTAGTTGGTGCCCTTTTCTTTTCACTCTCAGCAGCGAGAATGAGAAGCTCGCTCAAATTTAGAGGCGGGTCAAAACGTATAACACCAAAGTTTCCAAAATCGCTGAGGCCAACTTGGTAGAAATATTCATTGCAAACCGCACCATAATCAACAAGAAAGAGTCGAACACCGCCTTGAATTGCAGCAATGCGACGATGCTCATCAACGACGCCTACAAATGTGTGGCTAGCGAATATTTCAGTCAGATTGGTTTGCATTTCCTTACGAACCTCCGCGCGAAGCTCCTTTATAGTGACCAAGCGACATATAACTGGCTCGCGGTTCGAAGTTTTCTGATGATTTGAACTGCCCTCTACATATTCTGATGTTCCAATTTCATTTTCAATATTTGATGAAAGCATACTGGTAATTTTGCGAAGTTTCGAATCCGTCCGCACGAGGTTATTCTCGTAGATTCTAGGCCTCTGGGTGCTTAGTTTGGTTCCTTTTAAAGGCTCTGGCTCTGTGATATCTGCTGGCGTGTGTTCACTACTACTTGTAGAAAGTAGGCTTTGTACTTTGAAAGTTCGACTTGAGTCAAAAACGGTAAGTTTGGCTCTTATGTCATTACAGATTTTCTCGATAACCTCATCTTCATTGAGAAAATTGACTTCTCGTTTTGTAGGATGAACGTTAACATCGACACGATGAGGTTCAAGTTCCAGGCTGAGATAGACAAATGGATGACCGCCTTTGGGGATAATCATGGTATACATCTGCTCAATAGCCTTTCGCATATTGGTAGACTCGACAGAGCGATTGTTAATGAACAAGAGCAGAGTTATCTTTTTGGAGTGGTAGTTTGCACTGCTAGTCCATCCCCGTGCCTGAAATCCCAAGTTATCGTCGATGGACTCAAATTCTATTAACTCATTTGCCACGTTACTACCGTATATTTGGCGTAGACGAATTATTGTCGAGGAGTTTGATTGAATGGCAATCGAGGTGTTAGCTTCCCCAAATTTTTTACAACTAAATGCAACGCCATTGCAATGTACAGCATATCTACTGACTACATCTATAATCTTATTGTATTCTTCTGACGCTGAACGAAAGGCTCGGCGTCTTGTGGGAACGTTATAAAAAAGATCTTCGACTGTGATTTGGGTTCCATGACGACCTGCCACCGGTTTTGGTTCAGTACTTTGACCAGGTTTTGTTGGAGCTAACCTTCCACTTTGATAAGTGGCACGATAGGCACAATTAGAATCTTTCGTTCTTGTGGTTACAGTAAGATGGGCAATGTGGCTGATACTTGCTAGAGCTTCGCCTCTAAAACCATATGTCCCAATAGAGTTTAAATCATCAAAGGTTTTGAGTTTTGATGTCGTAAAGCGTTCACAAAGTATAGGAAGATCTTCTTTCTTGAAAATGTAAGCCTTTTAAGAAATTGGATATGACCACGAGGAATTCTAACGCTAATACCATGTCCATTATCTGTGATTTGAAGAAATTTTAATCCTCCTTCCTTGCTTATTACTTCTAGTGAAGTAGATCCAGCATCCACTGAATTTTCTATAAGCTCCTTCAAGGCATGAACTGGTGCAACAATGATTTCACCGGCTGCAATTTTGTTGATGACATCAGGGTCAAGGGCCTTTCAGTAAATAAGTCAAAAATAATTTTGTTGCGAGATTTGAAACTTCCCTGGATCCTCCTGGGGGGCAAAGCAGTTGAGATGGAATCAGATGCTTTTCGTTTTATCCCTCTTGGCTCCTGAGTGATTTCTATTGGATCGGCCATTTTTAGAGGTCCAACAAGCTGTCACCTGTAGCTGGGTTCAGAGTTAAATGAGAATTAATCATTCAATACGGGTAGATTAGAGGTAGATACCCGTCGAATGTAGTTACGAAAATTGTTAAGGTTGAAATAATCTTGTGGCTGTTTGTGTAAGCAGATGAATATTTGTGCATATTCAGCTCTAGTCAGACAGCCATGTGACACATGAGTTTTACTGAGTCAGGGGTCTGGGTGTTATGCAAGTGTTGCAGATGATCCGAGCGCGTATGGGCAGTCTCTTATGGATGACAAAGGTAAAATTGTCAAAATGACTAGGGTTAGATCCCTGTGCAAATCGATTAGATTGGTTTAGTCTTTATGCAGGCCCATGTCTAGTTACTCAACTAGTTATGCAAGCAAGGGGTACTATCCAATCACATTCCGTGAAAGTCTAAAGTATGGGGATGGTTTTGAACTCCATCGGAAAAGTACAATGGTCCTCACTTAAAGTTGAAAGTTGAAAAAAGTCCATTGATTTTCTCTAAAGATACACATCTATTTCAAAAATTATTGCTCTGTATTACAAAAGTCTACATCGAAGCCCTCAGTATGGCTCGCAACTAAGATGAAAGCGTACTACATGTTTTGTGTTGGTCTTCTCCATCCTAATACTTTGTGAACCGTCCATTTGCCTTGATCACTGCTACACATCTTTCGTGCATGCTGCCAACTAGTGACAATGGCTCCTCGGAAGGTATAGAGTCCCATGCGGCCTGCAGCAATGTCTTCAACGTGGCAGAGCGCACAAGCCAGACCCCATTTATCTTTGAACTATTTAGCTGAACGTGATTTTTTGAGATGTCCCACAATGACTCGATCGGGTTCAGGTCCGGATATTAAGGTGTCCATCTGATAGGCGTTATTCCAACCTTACGCAGCGCCTCAATTGTTGAGTGCGCTTTTTGACGTGGTGCATTGTCGTGCATGTATAGAATTTCTGGATTTTCCAAGTGAAATTGATTCACAAGAGGCAAAATCCTTTGACAAAAGGATGAGGCCCTCATTTATTCCCAATCCTTCTCCCAGACTAGGATTGGGCCTTATCGTGATCCGTAAACTGATCCCCAGAACATCCAACTGTTCCCGTGGGCATGGCGAGCAACATTACAAGCCACATCAAACTCGTCACCAGGCTAAACTCTGCTGTTAGTACAAGGAAGATTTTGATAGAATCTAAAAGTATTTTACTTGTGGCACGAGGTCTCATATGAGAATCACCCGATGCCCAGATTTCGTCAGTCCATGTTATACGACTCCATTATTTATCGCTCCTATCTACATGTAATTGAGCAAACTCCAATCTTTCTATTTGTTAACCGCACTTAACGGAGGCTTCTTCCGAGCAATGCATCTACTGTAACCTCTTTTTTTGAGTGCATTAGATATAAGACGTTCACTGAATCCTCAGTGGCTGAAGGGCTCTGTGGTTAGTTCCAAATAGCATATCTGTCGATTTTCAGGAGATTCCCGCACGAAAGCCTCAAGCTCCTCAACTTGTTCCACGCTTAATTTAGGTGAGCAGTTTTAGCGAGGCTTAGGATTATCAGTCTCTCGAGCACACGCAAGTTGCACTTGCCTTCTTGTGAAGCCAAGTTTGTCTCGGGGATGAGGGTTTGATAGTGTTCCACGGGGTGCGTTGTATAGCCTAGTAAAGATCTAGGTGGTAATTGAAGGTTCTAAATGGGTCAAAGGAATGACAGGTCTTCTCTAGGAAGAGATGAATGGGCAACTAGTTGCAGTAGGTGTTACACGTGGGTCTTGCTGATGAAGAACTGAGCAATGGATAAATGGTCTTCCCGAAGAAGAGATGGGTAAACAAATGTATTGTAAAGGGTAAATAAAGAAGACGTTGCGTGAGGAGTAAATCTCTCTCACGCCGAACTATTATATACAAGAGTAGAAGCCTTTGCCAACCGGAATTAATCGTAATCAATTCTTGCCAATATCTTCGCATTAATGGCTGTGTTCTTGTCCTTCTCTTCATGACTCTCTTGCATATCCTTACATGACTTTTTACACGACTAATTGTATAGGGGAAGCTATTATTAAATTGATGTCTTTAATTAACTACCCCTTCATCTTATCACGAATTAAAATTAGTATTAAAATTCTAATTACGGATCCGTGAAAGTAGTCCCCCTTTTAATCGCGAGCTCCTGCGAGGGTTAGTTATTTCGGTTTGTTTGAGAGGTCCCGGTTTCGTCGGATAGTTTTTATGGAAAATATCGACTGCTGCTGCGTCGTCCAGATTTATAGCCGGTTCCCAAGTTGGATAATTTTCACCAACCCATTTAACTAAATATTGAAGGCCAAAATTTTTTGTTGCTCGCGAATCGTATATCTCCTCTATTTGGAACTCTTCCTCTCCATCTATGACTATAGGTGGAGGCCGCGACTGTTTCTGACCTGGGACAGGGTCGTTTGCTGCAGGTTCTAGGAGTGACACATGGAAAACTGGGTGGATTTTCATGGTGCTAGGAAGAGAAAGCCGGTATGCATATGGAGATATTATACTTTTAATTGGAAAGGGGCCTAATTTTTTCCAGTCTAATTTTCGGGAGTTCCGAGTTGTTCTGATATTTTTCGCGGATAGGAACACCAGGTCCCCGACTAAGTAACGAGGGGCGGGTTTTCTTTTGGCATTTACCGCTTCTTCTTGTTGGTCTTGAGCCGATCTAATATTTGATTTTAATTGATTATGCAGGTCTTGCATTTTGAGGGCAAAGGTTTTTGCATCTAGATTTGGTGGAGAGCTTTTATGTGTTTTTGTAGACACTGTAAATTTTGGGTGAAATCCATAATTACTAAAAAATGGAGTTGCCTGTGTCGTTGCAGAAACCTGATTGTTGGCAGCAAACTCAGCCATGGGGAGCCATTTGACCCAATCATCTTGTTGATATGAAATATAGCTGCGTAAATATTGTTCCATTACTGCATTAAATCTTTCGGTTTGCCCGTCAGTCTCAGGATGAAAGGCTGTTGACATCCTTGCTTTAATACCAAGTTGTCTACAGAGTTCTTTCCAGAATGTTGCGGTAAATTGAGTACCTCGATCGGACGTAATGTGCGTCGGTAATCCATGAAGCTTCCAAATTTGACTCAAGTATAATTGAGCAACATCTTCTGCACTAGTTTTTGTGGTACAGGGTATCAGATGTCGCATTTTTGTTAGGCGGTCGACTATAACTAGAATCGCGTCGTAATTTTCGCTTGTAGGTAAGTCCGTCACAAAATCCATTGAAACCTCTTGCCATGGCTGTTGTGGAATTGGTAGAGGCCGAAGTACTCCAAATTTCGCGTGGTTACTAGACTTAGACCTGTGACACGTGTGGCAATTGCGAACATACTGAGAAATGTATTTACGCATCTGGGGCCAAAAATAATCTCTGCTAATAATTTCAAATGTTTTTTCGCGACCAGGATGTCCAGCAGATGGATTATCGTGATAGTTCTTAAGGATGTAAAGTTTAAGTGGGTCGTAGTTAGGTACATATAGCACGCCCCTGTATGTCAATCTTCCATTTATTTCGGTACACTCGGCTAATGATATTTGATTTGAGTGTCGTTCGCCTTTCGTGAGTAGATCTAGCAATTGAAGTGGTATTGGATCGCGTTCATAACCTCTTGAGAATAAATTTTCCAATAACTTATTACTGGGGAACTTGTCTTTCAAAATATTAACCGATGACAATTGTAGTTGAGGCGCCAAGTTTTCCTTCTTCAGGACTATTTGACTTTGGTGTTTTATCCTTTCATCGTTAATGTCGGGAAAATCCTCTGATCTCCGGGTTAAGGCATCAGGTTTTCCACCCTGTTTTCCTGGTCTATATTGGATGACAAAGTTAAAACGTGAAAGATATTCGGCCTACCGAGCTTGCCTTCGGTTGAGTTGTTTAGTGCTCATAAAATATTCCAAGTTTTTATGATCAGATATTACGGCAATAGGGTAAGCAGCACCTTCTAGTTCAGCTCTCCATTCTTCAAACGCTCGGATAATTGCTAGGAGCTCCTTATCATAAATCTCGTAGTTACATTCTGCGGGGGAGTGTTTTTTGAAAAGTATGCTACAGGTCGAAGGTTATGTTTGTCATCAAATTGGGAGAGGATACCTGCAGCAACATAGTCGGAAGCATCAGTCTCAATAATTATTCTTTTATCTGGGTCAAAATGGGCTAAGATTGGTGCAGTTATAAAGGCGTTTCTTAATGCTTTAAAAGACGCTTCAGCTCGATTATCCCAAATGAAGGGTGTGTCTTTTCGCGTTAATTTGGTGAGTGGTTGTGCTAGTGCAGAGAACCCATAAATAAATCGCCGATAGAAATTAGAAAATCCTAAGAAAGCTTGAATATCTTTTACTTTCCTAGGTATAGCCCAGTTTTTGATGGTTTCAATCTTTTTGGGGTCCATTTTTATACCACCAGATTCGATTATGAGTCCCAGATACTTAGTACTCTGTGTGTGAAATTCGCACTTCTCTGGCTTTAGCAGAACACCTTGCTGTCGAAGGGCTTCCAAAACTTTGTAGACGTGCACTTGATGTTCTTCTAGGGTGTTGCTGTAGATTAAGATATCGTCCAAATAAGCTGTGCAGAATATGTCCAAATAATCACGAATACAGTCATTGATGAAGTGTTGGAAGGTAGCTGGTGCATTTGTCAGGCCAAATGGCATTACCGTGTATTCGAAGTGACCATATCTTGTCCGGAAAGCTGTTTTCCATTCTTCACCCTTCGCCATTCGGATCTGATTGTACCCCTGTCGGAGGTCTAGTTTAGTGAAGTACTTAGCTTTTGACAGGCGATCTAGGGTTTCTTTAACTAGTGGTAATGGATAGCGATTTTTTATGGTCTGATTATTTAGTGCGCGGTAGTCAACACAGAGACGTAGTGTGCCGTCGGGTTTTTTAACGAAAAGTACTGGGGCTCCTGCTGGTGAGGAGCTGGCCCGGATAAACCCTTTTTCAA